AAGCATTTGATGTTCTTGCCTTCACAGATGCATATGTCAAGCCATATCCATTTTCAGAGTACTTAATTGTGTATCTGCAAACAAGGGAGAAAATTAACAAAGAATAAAACAGCCTCCAATGGGGTGTTACAACTGGTATGAACTCGAAATTTAAGTTGGAGATATTAAGTTCCAAGTCTTGAAACTAGTGGAGATGGATTTAAGAAAGGGAAGGACACTAACCCTGCAATCTGACCATCAAGGAGCCACGGTCGCCAATCATCGACCATTGTTAGATTCAGCTTCTTTATCCATTGGGTTGTTCCAATACTTGGAATTGTAAAATCATGATCACCGCTGTATCAAGTTTATGAGTCCTTAGAGATATGATTTGCTTTGAAATTATAGTTGGAAACAATGAAGTCAAGGGGCGTACCGTGTGCAAGTAATTACTTGTATATGAGAGCTTGTAATCCACTTTTACTGAGATTGCGATGATAATCAACGACACTGGTGACATCAATTGTGTAATCTAAGGACTTGTTGCATCTCTTCCAATCCTTTACTGTGCCCTGGTTGTTATCATAATCAAAAACATCAATTAACTTCGTATTTTTAGCAAAATAGTGCCTGGACTATACATAACCAGAGCAAATTTGGAGTCATACGACTCATACCGCTCGGACATTTAGTGCAGCTTGCACATGTTTATCATTTGCCCACAACTAAGAGAGGGCATAGTTGAAGTTCTGCACAGTAAGGTAATTAATAGTCTTTCAGTATATGCAGGAAATTAATGTAAAAATGTAAAGAGAGGGAGATTAGAGATTTTTACAAACACCAAAAGTCTGGAATTCTTGGAGGTGAAAGAATGAAATCATTTGTGTCTTCCTCAAGTGATCTTCGAGCTAAATCTCCGACTGGTTCAGGTGATGCCCAACTGCACTTAGGCTCCAGAATGTCATTTTTGTTTATATCTTTAACACACTGCAGTTTCAAAAACTCCAATCTTAGCAAGATTGATACATACATAGGTACTACAATAATCCCCTCAAAATCTTTTGCAATAATTAAGAACAAGATATCTATACAACGATTATTCTGACCTTCTTGATCAATTTCAGATTCTCGTAACATGCTGCATCAGATGAGGTTACGTCATAGTAATTTCCCCCACATGTTTCTTGGGCTGCCTGAACCGAACATAAAACATGAGTGCTGCCTTATCCCACTAGCAACAAAATGAAAGAACTGACAACCAAAAATGTTACCGTGTAGAGTTCATCAGATACAAGTCCGAGTCTGTGAGCAAAAACTATCTTTGCGTTCTCATTGATTTGTACATCTGTTCTTGGGCACCCCAGAATGTATCCCTGAGAAATCATTTAAACAACATTTCTAAGCACTTTTCTTTTTTAACCAAGTCATTTAAGTTTGCAAATCTTAAGGCTGCTTTACCTTGAGATTCAAGCTCGTTCCATTATCATTACCTGAAATTAAAGAACATAATCAACACATTAATCTAGAAAGAATGAATAAACGAAAACAATCTAGAATGATACAACCAGGTGTTTTGTTTTCATCTAGTGAATACAAGGGGTACTCAACAACCAAAACCCATATTACAAATATCCTCAAGTTGAAAGTACGAGTTCAACCACTAGCGCAACTAGAAATCAAGGTGAAGCTCTACATACAACTGTCACATAAAAACAAAACAGCATAACCCCGCACAGGCAATTTATCAAACACCTAGTGTGCATAACAAAAAAAAGCTTCTAATCTACCACACCCCTTGTCTCAAAATTCCCAAAAAAATCAACTTTAACCTGCAGAACACTCCCAGAATAAAGACAACACAGCACTTATGTTGTGGGTTTTCGATGTTGGAGAAATAGGTTAAGTTGAAACTCTAGCAATCAAATTAACCAATTCAGAATGACAAATAGGTGTGAATCAAAATGTTGTTACCATCTAATATATGTTGGACCACAATTGCGGCGTATATGCCAGAAAAAGAATCAGCCCCAATGAAAGGTTGAACTTTGAGAAATTGGGGGTGTTCAGCCAGCCACTGCGGGAGAAATCAAGAATTAAATCTACAGTAAAGATCACTTCTTCATGGTATAGTTTTGTACATCAATTGCTAGACAACAAAAACATCATCAGTTCCCAATTGTTCTGAACTTGCCTGCTTTAGGAACTCATATGTCTGTGCTGCAGAGTTTGTGTCCGTTCTAGGATAAGCATTTGTACTTGTTGCATAGGAAAAACCAGTTCCTACAGGTGCATCCACAAATAATATGCTAGCAGTCTATAAAAAAAAGAGGGAAAAATCAAGTTAAATTCTGTTTCAAAGCTTTATTTTCAGAGTTTGGTATTCCTGGGGGCAAAGGAAAGGCAAAGATAATAGTTCAATGGCGGTATGTCCCCTTCATATGTTGTGATAATGAACTCCAATGGACCTACACATTTCTTAAATCTCTTAATCTATCTTATAAAAGTACTAAATTAATTATGTAAGAGAAAAGTGATCCTTACTCCTACCTCCGTTTAAAAGTAAGAGTTTCCCTCCAAAAATACATTAGTTTAATAAATACATCTCTATTGAAACTATATAATTTTAAGGTTGTAAACTTGTAATTTTTAAAAGATATTATAAATAAATATTTTATTCATAATATAATAAAAAAATTATATTTTACAATTTAAACTGTATCAAATTATAAAATAAAAATTATTAAATTGAAGAAGCACTATTAATAGCAAGAATTCAACCCTCATCCAATAAATATTATTACTATACCACACAATACTTTTTCATTTAATAATTAAAAATAATTTTAACAACCTTTAAATTATTAAATTTAGAAGTTGAACAAGGTTGAAGAGGTTGAGAGTTATGTCCTACCAATTTCATAAAGAAGACCATTGAGAGCAGAACAACCAGGACCACACCGTACCAAAGCAAAACAGGGTCCTCCTTGGGGTTCCCTTCCGATTCCATGAAGTAGTAAAACAGCTCAGAATACCCAACAGTCACATACCTGAAAAATTCATCCACAAAGCCATTTTCCTCATCAGATTACACACTTTTCCACCCCCACATTAACAACAACAAATTGAACATACTTACCCAGTTTCAAGTTTGAAAGGAAGTTTGCCGTCGAATCCAGGAAGACTCTTGACGATTGTGCCATAGAGAGCTGCATCTGTTGAGCAAAGTAGCAAGAGAAGTAGAAGCAAGCTCCTGAGACAGGGTTGTCTGCTACACGGCGACATTGCTAGTGGCAGATGGTATGGTGGTGCGGCAACCAGTTCAATTTGTTAATAAATTGTTCAGTGTGGGGAATTTTTTTTATAGAAGCGAATGAATGGATGTAGGAAATGTTGTTGTTTTTATGGAATGGAGGAAATGTTCTTAGAATGGATATGGCCGTTGAAATACAGTTGTTAACTAAGCTACAAAATGGGGTCCGCCGACGAGAAACTCGAAGTACAAAAAAATATACTCTCAGATTATTTGTCTTCATTAGTCTTGTGACTCTTCTGCCCAAATAAAAAAATGAAAAAATAAAAATAAAATTTTGGTTTGAGTTGAGCAGATAAGATGAATGTTTTTTACTTTATTATTATTTTTTTTGTTTAATTTTGCTCAAACTAAATATATCTAAAAGGAAAAGTTGAGGGACCATTTTGTAGGTTTAACCAATGAATTAAGAGGCAAACGGTGACGTTTTGACCTTTCAAGGAAGCCTTTTTACTTCTTTGTCCCTTAGCTCTGGAGTGCATGACGGTTTAGCCCCAGACTTCTTTATGTGTTTACACGAGTCCCTACAATTTGCAAAAAAAAAAAAAAAAGGTTTTTATGATCTTTATTATTGATCCACAAAATTACACCTCAAATTAATTCTTCTTCTAGACATAATTTTCAACGGTTTTGATATGATTATGTTGCAAATTAAATTTGAATTTTGATATTTCATTTTAATAATTTCAAATTTTAAGAAATCAATATAAACGAATCTCACTCTATATATTTAAATATTTGAGGCCGACAGCCTAAGTTGTTTTGTAATAATTTCTTTTCATGAAAATAAAAAAT